GCAGCAAAATTTGTGTTGTTAGCTGAAGTGCAAACGAGTGTTATGAAACAATGAAACTAGCATATGATGTTAGAAACATCTTCTATTAAATGCAATAATGACACAAACGTTTCACAAAACAATCTATAAAATCTATTATATTATAAGGTATTTCTCACGTCTTCTTACCCTGCCTTCGTAGTGTAGTGGTCTGCACGCTGGGCGCGTATTTCAGAGGTCCGCGATTCGATTCCCGGCGAAGGCGTTGCTCACTTTTCACTTCTCCGGCTTCCAAAAAAATACCTAATGTCTCTACAATATCAGTTTTTACATCAACCCATAAATGTTATTGATTTTTAGACAAATCCGCTAAAACATGTTCTAGTACCTTTTAACTCGTGATTTTTCCAGATATATAAATGCCACTGTGAGCAAAAACAGTTTTATTCATATATATTCAGGCTTGAAATTACTTAATATTTTTTTCAACAATTCCTTTCGAAAAAGGAGTTCACAAAAGAGATCATCAGATGCATTTTTCTTTACAAGCATTAAAGGTACAATCATGCAATAAATGCTGCAAAAAGTGATTAGGGAATGTGTGGTAAAAATATTTTGAACATCCGCAAGTGCCAGCGATGGCTTTGTTAATTCCAATAAAGAGACCTTTGGCTGGAAAATATTCCCCGCTGAGGGACCATTTTTATTTTTTTTTTTTTTTTTTTAACAATGAAACAGTATGCAGTTCTTGACGAATTGGCAAAAGAAGCTAATTTGTCACCATCAACTGTTCATCGTCATTTCACGGAACTCAGAATCGTGTCAATGCTTTGCAGTTAGTTTCACTACTGATAATAATCTAAGGAAACGTTCTTCACTCACATGAAAAAGAAAATCCCTTTTTTGAACCGTATAGTGATTGGTGATGGAAAGTGACTGGTGGTTGAAAACTTGCAATATACCATTGATGGGAAAGAATACAGTTTCTTTTAAAGCATTTGTAACGGACCTTAAAGAATTTGTCTTTAATAAGCCCGTGATTTCTTTAGGAATGTCGTAAGAAAATAAAGTATCAGAACTGGAAAATAATATTCATTCAGATGGGAAATATTTAGTTCATTTGACCACACAGGTCTTTTACAGTTTGTTCTCTTTTCTTTAATTATATATATATATATCCGCCCTGTTACCCAGCATGGTAAGCTCTTTTTTTTTTTTTTTTTTTTTTTTTCGTCTAATATGTTAGTAAATTGTACATTTTTTGCTTTAAAAGTGATTGAATTATGTTGTTGTTATGTTCCATTTAAGGTTTTTATGCTTTTAGTTAACCTGCAATACAATAGTTGCAGAAATGCCAAAAATTTAAAAGTGGCACTAAGCCTGATGTGGCCGCCATTTCTTTAAATTTCCATTTCTTAGTAGAACAGGGAATTAAGTAAGTTGTTGCACCAACTTCAGTGCCTTTTGTACAATGGGATGAAAAATAACTTTTAATTTTGTGCAACGAAACATTTTCTGGCCGTTGACCGAATTGAAAACAATTCCCTGATATTTGTTTTGGCTTCCAAACTCTAATTTTAATTGCAAAAACTGTTTTTTTGAACTGCTCCTACTTGGTGTATTTGGTGTTTTAGATTGTTATGTATTCTACAATTTTTAATAAAGAAGTTTTCAGTTTTTATATATTTTAGATTTACCGTGAAGCGAGCACTGAATTGATTGAATGAGAACTATATCTCTATATAAATTCGAGAAATAAGTTTAAATGAAGTGCAGAAAAAACTGTGTGTAATTTAATAATGTATAAAATTTAAGTCACGTGGTGTTGATCACATCAGATTTTTTCCTTTAGCTTCAAGTAAAATGTTCATTTTAAAACTGTTATTACATCCAATTTCTGAAACAGAAAACTAAAGTTATTTCTTCATTTTCTGAATGACTTTCAGTTATTTTTCTTTATTCCAAAATTTTCTTATATTATGCTTGTGCTTTTAATAATGGGTAAAAGTTTCATCATTGGTGACGTGTAATTGAGACTAAACTAAAATACAGTAAAGAATTTTATATATATATAGAATAAGCTTTCATTTAAAATGGATGTGATAATAATTGCACTAAAAGCAGAACACAATTATCATATATTTCAATGGGGATACTTGATTAAACAATTTATATTTAAGCTATTTACAGGACTTTTTTAGGTACTTTTCCGTTTTGCCGGCGCAAGTGATAAAGGTCGCCAATAATGATACAACCGATGCCAAACGGAATATTCTCGCTGGTAACCTTTTACGCCTCATTTTCAAAACAAGTGGCAGCTTTTCCTTATTAGATTGATTGTTTCTTTCAATACTGACGTATAATTACATAGCAATTTTATCAGATAGTTCAGTTTTATGTCTAAGGCCATTTTCGGTAATTAAGTCAATTAGGATGCAATCACAGCGCTTACACCGAAGGCCGAAAATATAGAAAAGGTAAAGTCAAGGGTAAAATAAATTCATCAATTCTAATGAGAATGCATTAGCTAAATAAAGCACTGCAGTTTTTACATAATTTCTGAGTAAGCTATTCGTACGAATTGGAATATTTCTTGCATTTAAACTTGTGTTCCAAATTAAGATTTAACTTGAAATTAATGTAGATAATTACTGAGAGCATTAGATTTTTGTAGAGTAGTTTACGTGAGATGAGATCTCTTGGGGTCACGTGATATGAACCGGCGAATCAGGATGTTGAACCATGAAAGCATAGTAAATTCTTAAATTAATGTCTTTTCACAAATTTATTGTCTTTATTTATTGGCTTTTTATAAAATTTTAAGCGATATTAAAATGTCTATGTCTTCAAAAAAAGAATTCTTAGAACTAACATTTTTTAATATTTTTTATGTGTATACTGTATGTTGTCGCCAATAAAGTCTGCTTGGCGAGATCTGCGCCGGCGAAACGGAAAAGTACCCTCTTTTACAATACTATATCGTGAATAATAAAAGCAGGGAGCTTATAAATAATGAAATGTATTAATTTAATTTCTTTGTCAAATCAACAATTAACATTAACCATTAACATTTTAAATTTTATATTAATTTAATTGCCTTGCCAAATATATACGCCATTATCTTTTTAAATCAATCATGAGCTCCCACGCTGTTATTATTTGTGATGTAATATTGTAGATGAATCTATAAATAGAAGTTTGTTTTCCCATTTTACTTATATGATAAGTTATTTTTATCATTTTAGTGCATTAGTTATCATATTCATTTTTTTTAAAAAAGTTAATGCTATAAAAATCTTTTCTAATTATACTTTATTAATTAAATTAAATTTGAATGTATTATATAAATAATTTATATATGTGAGGTCACATTTTTATGACAAATAGCAATAAAAATGCTTGATGGTCAGACATCCCCGGTGAACATTTACGAACAATTTTGAGTATAGCCACTGCAAAATAAAGTCTTGAATTATTTAAAAAAAATAGTGATGAAAGTCCTGAAACAGCATAATTCGATTTGTTAATTTATTAGTTGTTTTTAGATTTACTTAATTTATATTTATTTACGAGTATTTATTTAATTTACATTTAATATTTATTTAATTTATATTTTATATTATTTAATTTAATTTACATATTATTTATATTTAACCTTTATTTTATATATTTTTATTTAATTTACATTTAATATTTATTTAATTTATAATTTATTTAGATTTATTTCGTTTATATTTTATATTTACTTAATTTATATTTTATTTACATTTAATTTAATTTATACTTTATTTAGATTTATTTCATTTATATTTTATTTTATATTTTATTTCATATTCCCTAATAATAATAAATTATATAGAATAACATTATTTTATATTCTGCCCTGTTTTTCGCTCTTACTGGTGTTCTTCGACCAAAACGTTTGCTCAGACCTTCTCTAAATATTCTTTATAAAATCTAGACATCGAGACATATTTCATCGAGTAAATACAATTTTTCGTATTACCTTATCTCCCAGCGTTATTTCCCCGCCCCCTAAAACCTTTCACGGCCAGGTTCTGTAAATCTTAAAAAATATTCGTGCAATTTTTCCCAATGCGTTCAGAGAACGAACTTGCCTAAATTTTAAAATGGATTCGTCCACGTAGGGATAACATTTGTCTTAGAAATAAAGACAAGCCCTCATAAACAACATGCGAAATTTACGCCGGATATTTTCCTTCTTACTGTTAACTTTATGCCAGCCTAATTCAAGAACCGACTCACGACAACGAAGCGAAAATTATATGTCACTCAATCAACTGCACATTCAATATCTCTAATTATTAGTGAACGAGTTGCGGCTAAGCAGAGACAACAATAAGAATGAGGGAGTTTCAAGTTATACAGAAGAAGAAATGCAGATATCAGATATTGTAATGTTGATATTACTAGGTATTCTTACAGGAATGTAAATTGTTCTCAAAAGAAATAATATTATGTAACCAGTAGATAAACTACGATTGCTTTTCATTTTTTATACTTCTATTGTAACGGCTTCCTTCGAAAACTAAATTATTCCCATAATTTTCCCTCTTTATTTATGGACGATAAAATAAGTAGAAAAAATTAGGGGCGATATGTGAGGAAATGCTGATCACATGAATTCTAAATTTAGAAATAAGACAACGAAGAAAATGTCTGAAAAAACATAAAATTACTTTATGCATAATAAATGAAGAAGCGTGGCCTTTCAAAACAACTATAACCCTTAATAGCAGCTTAGCCTTTGAATGGCTCCTTTCCTGCAACTTAGGGATTCCGTAAGATAACCCGTAAAATTCTCAGCAAGTAGCATGTTCTAGAGAACATTTACATTCCTGTCGCAATTTCCAAAGGGAGATGGTTTAATTAACATCCATTACTCTTTATCTCCTACAAGCAATTATTCTAAATGACTGCAGTTAAACTGTTAACCGCCAATGTGCTCGGTCTGAGGTTTGCAGCTTTCAATTAACAAATCTTTAATTTACATCACTTACGATTTAAGTCCAATGAAACGGAGTTTGTGGTGGGTGACGTGAGATTGTTGTTGTTGGCTTGACAGGATAAGACAGCCATCAAGTCGCTTCGTCGCAGTTTCGTTAATGTAATTTCGTTTCGGACAGCTCCTTGCGTTGTGATGTAATAAGTGTCGTCCAGCAGAACAGAATCCCTCCACCACGTGACTGACGGTATAGGAGAACCTATTGGAAAAAAGAATGCTAGATCAGTAAATGCAATATTGTTGTAAAAAATGCAATTATGTTATTCTATACATATACCGAATTGAGTATGGTATCTGAATTTGCTTTCTTATTTGTTAGTTATTGCCACTGAAATATTGCTGCTTACAGCGAGTAATTTGGCTTGCGATTAATTTGAATTAACTTCTGTTGGGTCTGCACGTTCTTTTCGTGAACAGTGGAAATATGGTTAATATAATTCATTTGTATTTTGTTTATTTAATTTATTTTTAAATTTTACTTACTAACTCACTCGCTCGCTCAATCATTCACAAAATATTTTTTATTTTATTTTACTTTATTTATCAATATTCTTTCATTTTAAACACTACTACTTTTCCATCACAACATTAAATACTTCAATGATTACTACTATATTATTTTAAAGGATTTTACTTGAAAAGTAGCATAATTTATTTTAATTTAGGAAACTGCTTTTATTACTATACAGCAGCACACCGGTAACTGCGGGTAGTAGGTTTTGAAACTTTCCGCGGATACCTGAGACCGCGAGTAGTAGCGAATGTTATGTGAAATATGATATTCAGGTAACATATTTTGTGATATTTCTGTTAACTAACAGTTTAAGCGCTTAGTTTCGATCTTTCCTTTATACCTTATTTTGTCAAGTACTCGCTGAGACTAGTGCAGATTCTGTTTGCAAGCGGTGTAGGTTAAACTGAGAGGAATAATCATAGCCCGATGATTTGCAGTAGGGATATTTTGTGGAACCGGACTGGTAAGTGCGATTTTTAATTTAGATTCAGACGGTTCGACTCATGTGTTAGTTGTAGCTTCGTGTAAGAGCATTGGTTTTACAGTCTGTTAGATTGTTGTAAGTCCAGCCATTGGTTGAACGTTAGTTTAAATCTGTACTATTTTAATTTGAAATCACAAGTAGTACGTAAAATAAAACTAAGTTATACTACTTGATGCGTTTTGCTGCTGCCCCAGTCAGTTTAATCTAGGGGTGATAACTCGCAAGCACAGCTAAGGTAATGTTTCATGAGGAGCTGATATGGATACTTATTTAGCTACGATAGAATAACCCCTCAGATGTTATAACTACTTAAGTTCTTATAATATAAAAAGTAGGATCGCATGTATGTGGTATTTTTCACAAGTAATCTGCAAAGAAAATTGCAAGGGCTTAGATTTGGAGAATGAAAGGACAAGTGCTTCATTCAGGTTGTTGGTCATCAAAAACATCAGTTAAAAGGTTTTTTTTATCATAAATAACTACGCTCTTTATCATTAATAGCAGAAATTGAGTGTAGAAATATGGAGAAATCAAAGATATCTTCGCTGGGATTCGAACAAGGGATTTTATAATTGGCCAACTGGAAGTGCTAGCCATTTGCATTAGAACAGTACGCATGGGAGAGGCAATAATTCTTTATACTTGCCCCCACGAGAAACACGAGAGCCGGTGGATTAAAAGCAACCATTTGCGAATTATTCTTGACAATATTTTTATTCGTGCATTACTGTAACACCTATTAATTTTTTTGGTGTAATATACATGAAAACTTAACTGCGCCCTTCCCGAAATTCGAAAACAGATCTTCTAACAGCTAGTTGGTGTGCAAACTGTTTACTCCAGGAAATCACACATTAAGACATTTAGAAAGGTCTTACAAAATATGGAGTGTATTGGGCTTCTCTGAGGAGAAAACACGAAATATCAGCGATGTTTCCGCCAGCATTCGAATTCAGGATTTTAGATTGCTACCCGAATCTGCTACCCATTACTTTTTATATTTTATTTAATTTTCGTTTTTAATTTCTACTTTTTGTTTTTTCATTTTTCATAATGACTTAAGAAATCTTCCTAAATATAAGTGACCAGGGGACAATATACAACATTGGATTTCGTAATAACGTTAAATTTCGTAATTTATAAAATTGATATTTTAAATTAAAAAAATCTGATGTGTACACCATATGACTTCCTTGTACGGAATATTAAATTATACGCTTTTTTTCTTGCATTACATTTAAACTTATTGGATTTAATTAAATCTAGCTCGTTGATAGCGCACAAACCAAAAAAGAATAAATGCACTCTTTAAAATTCACTATATTTGTTTACCATAGCGACACTCAGGCGGTAGGTTCACATAACAGCGTTACCTTTCATTCATTTTAGAACTCAAAATAGACAAAATTTATATCATCTTAAGAATTATCTAATCTTTGCCCCATGTTCAACTAAATTACTATAACCAATCTAAAACGATGTATAAAAGAAATTAAACAAATCAAACAAACAAAAAAAAAGCAGTTTTTTCACAGTTGATTCAGTATTTCTCATTCAATTAATTCAGTTCTCACTTCGCGATAAGGCAAAAATACATAAAATCTCAAAATATCTACATTAAAATTTACGAAGTAAATCTTAAACACTTATTTCCTCAAATAAATTCCAGAATGGCTTAAGCATGATTGAATTCGCAATAATAAAAGAAAGCGTTATCTTTGATGTTGTGAAGCATACTTTCTCTAGGGTGGCATCAGATCTACTATTCTGCCAAGTTTCAAATGTAAATAAACATTGCCGCCATGGCAAAAATAACTAGGCTTAGTGGCACTTAAACAACTATTAAATTGTTGATAATTCTGCAAATATTGCATGTAGATTTACGAAAGGCATAAACACTTTAATCGTAAACTAAGAACAGTATAATTCAATCATTTATAAAGCAAAAAAGGCACAATTTACAAACATATAAGAATACAGAAACTGAGATCACTGAGCCGAGTGACAGAGTGGATACATATATACATATATTTATATACGTTTGGTGCGGCCGATTGCAACCAAAATACGAGTTTCACATCTACATGTTATAGCAGTCCTATATATAAAATTTCAACATTCTGAGGCAACTCGTTTTCGAGTTGTGTGAGATACGTACGTACATACGTACGTACAGATGCCATGAAAAATTCTGGCTAGAATTCATTTTAAATCAGTTTTACAAATTTTGTGGGGGAAAAGAGTCATTTATTCTGTCCTTACGTACGGATGTCACCAAAAATATTGTTAAACTGCGTTCGATACATATATACATATATTAAATGTTGTATGAACTTAAATCCATTTAGTGCGAATACAAGTTATTATTACTTGCGCAATTGCTGCAAAGTTAGTTAATAATAATTTATTTCCTAAACCGTAATGGATATTTTCATTGAAATATGATACCTGAAGTTTTCCCTATTATAATACTTCTTTTTTACTTCGTACAAGGAAGTGAAAATGCTAAAATATAATATTTGCTTCATTTAAAACATTTTTGCAACTGTAAGTATAGGTTTAGAACCAACGGTTACGAAACTAAAGGCCGAATAAGGCCTTTCGTAGCATGGTGTATAATACAATTCATGAAACTTCTATAAAACTAAATTTATATCTGTCCAATGCAAAATAAGAACTCATCTGTTTAACTTAATTTTATGCTTTGTTAAATTCATTACTTGATGCTTTACAGAAAATTAAATTAAAATTTCCCTACGTTCAATTTTAAAGACGAATTGCTTAATGAAAACATGATAGTGAAATAAAAAAGGTACTGGAGATAATGTAATTTCGACTGAATGAAAATTTCTTAAAATTGTAACACAACTTCTTCTCTATGAATACATAAAATTAGCATCCGTACACTTGACTCGTATCTCTGCGAAATAGAAGAGCGTCGCCAGTTAATTAAATTTGTTCAGAAAGTTACTTATAAACTACTTATTTAAATTTATTTTAGCTCAACTAATATTTTCCCTATTTGTTTCTGAGATTGGATTTAGAAGTGAGAAAATGTATGTATTATACATACATACAGGTACCTCAAATACACGTAAACACGTACATGTATAAATATAACCGTTTATTCAAACAGAATACGTAAAGCTAAAGATAATAAGAAAATTGCATAAAAGTATGGATAATAATTAATTACATTATTTTTCGTCTGCGTTAAAAATAAAAATGGATATTTTTACTTCATAAGAATGAAATTTATGGAAAATATGCTTGGAAGATGCAGTTGTTGAAAGAACTGTATTTTTTAAATCTTTATTCTAAACTGCTGTAGTTTGAAATAGATTCGAAACTAATTAGAAAGTTTACAATTATATGGTTTGGTTCGTTTTATTTGATTATGAGGAACCACACTGGGGTATCTCCATAAGCGAAGGTATGACTTCGTGGAGGACTTTTAAAGTAACGGTTTTACTGAGCAAAGATTTTAATTCATTGTTTTTCCTGAATTATAGTTACCTTTTAAAATTAGACAAAAGTCGTAGTCGTTTTAGACTGTCGTATATTCTGAGGCAGAAAAATGTCTATTAGGTAAAAAAAAAATTCAGGTCCATCTTCTTCAGGAACAATGGGTAAAAGAATGCAAAAGCAAGCAAATCACCTACTTTCGAGGAAAAAATAATGAAACGGGAAAAAGCACAGGTATTAGAATTTTGGAAACTTTAGCGAGATCTAGACTGGAACTTGAAAACTTTGACGAGAACTAGACAATAAAGATTTTATGAATTTAAAGGTGAATTGGATGGTGATTGAAAGGTGACCTGGAAATCATATCTAACCTCTCTTTGATAGCTTTCGAAATAGTAGAGTTATTTAAATTATGCCCTAATCTATGTTTTTTTTGGGTGGGGGTGGGGGTGGGGGAAGGCTAACTTTTAATTTGGCGTGTTTTCCTCTCAGTTATATGTTTTAATTATCAAGGACACAACGAGAAATAATATTCAAAAAGCCGGCTGCAGATTTATAAACAGTAAAATTCAGAAACATTTAAATTTTCTTCTGAAACAAAATCTAAGACATTATATTACTTGCATTTTAGCATTAGCTAAAATAATGACACATATTTCAAATGAAAAATTCAACACGGATGTATTTTGCTTCTGAGTGTACGAATGAGTTGGCTTTGAAATAGATGCAAAGAATA